GCAAGGGGTAGCTTACAAAGTCAGGGGTCTGGCCTGAAGGCATTTTAAGTGAGAAGACTCTGGTCACAAGTTGAAGCCTGAAACAGAGATAGCTAGCAGTTATCCTATTAATCACAGATCATATTAATAGAGATAGAAAGTCCAAACTAAAGGAAGTGAGAGCCCACTGTGCCCTGTCCTAGTGTGAACTAGTCTGGGACATGTTGATGGGCTCAGTCCGTACTGGGAGACAAGCCACAGCGCGAGGGCCCTCTGTGACGGGTGACTGAGGAGGGGTTGCTGCAGCAGGCAGGCCGTCGCAGAGGGCTGACCCTTGGGGGTGGCTGGAGCCCAGGCCTGGGCTGTGTTGTGCATGTGCCAGCATAACAGCATGGCACTGGCCATGCCTCAGAGGGGCTCAGGAGAAGGCGCAAGGCCCCTCAGAGGGTCCCTGGAGCCAGTGTTCCGTAAGGTAGAGAGGAATGGGGGACAGTGGGACAGCTGGGCAGGAAAGGAGGTGTGGGTCCCAAGAGAGATGGAAACAGAGCAGTTCATGTTGATTGAGGAGTGGCCTCCAGGGGGTGAGGCGCTGTCCCACCGTCTCACTGAAGATGCTGTGATCCCTGCTCCACTGACAGAGAAGGAAGCCAGGCCCAGGGGGGACAGGTCACTTGCTGAGGGTCACACAGCTCTGAAGGGGGTGTGGCGTGGGTGCCACATTAGCAGCCAGGCCTCTTTGACCCTAGGGGTACCTTAGGGCATCATGGGGGTGCTAAGGTGGGCAGTCCCCTGACCACTACTGCCCTGGCCCCCTGCCACTGCTTGGAGCCAGGATGCCCCTCAGGTTCTAATACCAGGGGTGGACACTCAGCACAGCAGGGGCACAGGCTTGGGCCTCGTGTCCTGTTGTCCCCAGGTTCAGATGAGCTAGGCCTGACCAGCATCCTCAGACCCTGGTCTGCCCTGCCCACAGCCACGTGGCTGACGGGATTTCCGCCATGTTTGGGGCATGAATTGACAAGTGCCCCATTGACGGGCAGGGGGGAGGGTGTGGGCAGGGCACAAGCCACCCACTGTGCCGGGTCCCCACCCTCCCCCGTCCCCCAGGACAATGGCCGAGACTCAGCCAGTGGCCACAGCTGGTGGGGAGGGGATGGGCATGAGCACGAGGAGGGGAGGAGGGAGGGGTTCAGGGTGGAGGACCACCTGGGCCCCCACCCGCCCTCATCCCGCACCTGGCTCATGTCCCTTGGGTTCCCTTCTGCCCAGCTCAGTGGCCTTAAAGGGAGGAAGAAAGAGGAGGGGAAGGGGCTTCCTTCCCACAGCCCCGATCCCAGCCTGCCTGGGAAGGGGCAGTGTCTGGATCCTGTTAAGAGCAGGTAATAAAGGACCTAATTAATGAGAAGCATGTGGGGTGCATGGCTCAGCAGGGCAGGGACGGTACCTGGAGGGGCCCTGTCTAGCCCTGGCTCCTGACCACAGCACAGCCTGGCGAGGTCCCCAGACCCAGACAGGCCTGGTTCCAGTGTCCCGCTTGCCACTTTGCTCATTCATTCCGTGAACATTTATTGAGTGCCCACTGAAGGCTTAGATGCTTAGATCCTAGGGAGACCGAACAGGGCGAGGCCCAGCCCAGCTCCCACATCTGCAAGGGGTGGCAAGACATTCATCCTTCCTGAGCCTCAGTTCCCTCATCTGTAAAACGGAGAACAAGTAACCTACCTCCCTTTAGGGTCATTACGAGAATTAAGTATGACTTGTGTAAAGTGTGCGTTGTGACGTTGGGCACAATGACCACTCGTTGAGTGTGAGCTGTGGGCAGTGGGTGGGCAGCGACAGGTCCCCCACCTGCCTGTGATGTCTGTACCAAGCAGGAGAGCGAAGAGCCTAATGAGAAAATAGAAAGGAGACCACCGCCAAGAGGATGGGAGAGCCAGAGATGGCCTCTTGGGGGAACTTACATTTAAGCCAAAACCTGAAGAACGCTTAGGAGTGGGCTTTCTCTGGCATGTGCAAAGGCCCTGATGTTCACAGCAGGGCGGGGCAGGGATGTTTTTCCCAGGCCGGAATGAGGTAGGGGCTGAACCATGGAGAGTTGCAGGGAGCAAAACTAGGCAGGGAGGAGGCTGTTGGGGGCAGGCAGGGGGCCGGCCTTGCCCAGCCTTGGACCACGGAGGGCTCTAGTCATCCCGAGCAACAGGAAGTTGTTGAGGGTTTGAGGAGGGGGAGGGCAGGGATGCTGGTTTGTGACCTGGTGGTACCATGTTCTGGTTGTGCGACCATGGGCAGCCTCTCCACCTCCCAGGGAGGCCTTGAAGATCAGCAGAAGACAAAATTAGTTTCCTGCTGACAGGTATCTGTTGTTGGCTCAACAACGTTCCAGTGCTCTTTCAGGAACCGTGGGGGAAGGGTACCCCCAAGAGTGTGCCCAGGGGCCCTGCCTTCCTCCTGGGCTCTTGGGGGCTCTGCCCCAGCCTCAGGAATCCTGACCCCCAGACTGTCCTCCTAGGGTGTTTGGTTAGAAATCTGCAGTGTGGTTCGTGGGGCAGGCCGGGGCATCTGCCCGGTGGCTGGACCCTTTACGCCAGGCGGGCTGTGTGGGGAGAAAACCAGGCAAGCCTCGAATGCTCCCAGAGAAAGAGAAGATGTGGGGCCAGTGTTCCTCAGGAGGCCCGCCAACCCCCAAACCTTAAACTTCTCTCCCACCCACTGGCCCACCCCCATCCTGCCCCAGTGGCCCTCTCCTCCCTCCTCCGTCCACCCGGCCCCTGGCACGGGAGGGTCTCTCCTCCCCCCAGCCACATCTGGTTCTCGTTAGGGTCTCCCAGGATGCCTGTGCCGAGGCCCCCCTATCCTGGGGGAGGTGGGCAGGAGGATTAGGGGTGATTAGGAACACTCCTGGCCAGGGGAGGAGGGGAAGGAGGGCCTGGCCTGTTATAGATAGCAGCACCATGACTCCGCCACCCCATCATTCACTGTAGATTCCAAGTTCAGTCTGTAAAACCTGCAGCTTCAGCAGCCAGGGGAGGGTGCGCTGCACTCCTGTGCCCTCTCCTTCTCTGTCTCTGTCTCCTGTGTTCCACCCTCCCTCAG